CTTGTATCCGAATTACTTCCTAAACTTTCCCGCTGGTCCCTCCGAGGACCCTCATAGTTCTTCTCTGGAATTCGAATGGATTACTAAAACACAAGCCAGAACTGGAAACACTAATAAACGATAGAAAAATTGACTCATTACTGCTAATAGAAACACAATAATTTTACATAAACGGACACTGCTTAAAACACCTCACACAAGACAAAGACCCCAAAGACGGCAATCCTAGTCAAAAATAATATCTCTAATGACCATCATCTTTCTGAAGCAACGACTCTTACCGACATAGGTCAATTTCTATTTCACTTCCCAATTTCCTATCATTTTGTCAGCAGTGTACTGCACTCACTCAGACGTCATATATTATCCCCGATTTGATGCTATTTTCCAACAACTAGGTTCCAAATAACGTCGGGGGCTACTTTAACGCCAAACACCGGCATGGGGCAGCAGGACCACAAATTACAATCCCCTCAACAACGTTCTAGTTCTGCTCAATTAAACTGACTTATTTACTAATCAACCGATCTACTGGCCCACTGATCAAAACCGCTGTCCCGACTTGCTGGATTTTTTCGCGACATCTGGTAAAGATTCCTTCTTTCCTTTCATCCAGTCTTTATACGATCTGTCCTGAGACCACTCTCCTTTGTTCTTCACTAACGCCACTACTACTGTTCATAAAGCTTCCAGACCTTCCTTAACTATCAACCCAGTAAATGGGAAACTTTTCAAATGTCCAAATACCGATCATCCCAGTTATACCTCGAATTCTTATCCACACAAGACAATACATCCCTCTGGCAAGCACTACTAGGTTACCAAACTCTATCAAGTATCTTCAATTAGATGTCTGAACGATACCTTGGCCAGGTCATACGCAGAAAACTGCAAGCTCCTCCTTTCCGTAGTATTTACTCCCCATCCCGATCTGACTTGAATCGCTGAATTCCTTGACTCGCTTCTCCCTCTCGCTGTATCAATTTATCCATCCCACCGACACCATGTCACAGATTTTCGGCCTTCCCCAAAGGAAATCTCCAGGCCACAATCCTATTGTCACTAAAATCCTCTCAAATTTACCCAAAAAGCAATAGTGTACGTTACAACTATTTACGCAATATTTCGCACGTCCTTTTTCATCCAGTGCAAAACTACCTTTAATAATCCCAATACTAAAACCGCCCAAATATCCCTGTGGCCCATCTTCTTATAGAGCAACAAGCCTCTTTCCTATTTTATCCGAAATCTTTGAACGTCTCCTCCTTAAAGGACTAATTCCCATATTCGACTGTGAAAACTTAATTCCCAACCATCAATTTGTACTCTGACCTCCTTCATTCTACTGTTCAGCAGTGATTCAGACTGTCGACACGATATCCTCGGCACTCGAATAAAAAGAAAATTGCTCAGCCGTATACGGAATAACATTACGGAAGCATTCGACTGTCGCACCCCGGCCTCGTTTACAAGCTATCCTCCTTCACGCCTACTATCTCGAAGTCCTTCCTCTACTAACAATGGTTTAAAGGGAGAATCGTCACTGATTTTTCACCTATCACTCCAATCAAAACTGGCGTTCCGCGGGAAATGTCCTAGGTCCAATCCTCTACAGTCTACACCATCTACACTGCTGACATATCTGCACACGAAACATACAATTCACAACCTATCGGACTACACCGCAATCCTATCTCCACACTCCAATACTATCCTAGCCACAGAAACAATCAAACATCTGAACCTCATTACCGACTGGTGCACTCCGGGGCGAATCAGGTTGAACGAACAAAAAGCCAACAAGTCATACGCCCAAACCTACCCACCAGTGAACATTAACCATCGAACCACAACCGCTACATCCTGATTGAAACGACAAGAACATAACCATAGATATGAAAGACTCAGACACCTTCTGGGACCAAAAACAACACTAAACATACATAACCAACTAACCGCTTACAAAACACTCATCAGACCGATTTGAACTTACGGAGTTGAACTGTTGAGCTCGGCCAAATCCTCCAACACTAAACGAATTCAATCCTGTCTAAGTACTCCGCCGTATTCTCAACGCTCCCATCTACGTTACCAATCAAATGATCAGTAAAGACCTTAAAATTCCACTTGTGAAGAATCTGATCCGAACTTAATTCCTCAATTTAGACTTAGCCAGTTTAACGTCTCACGCTTATAATCCTATGTCGAAAAAGCCAGTATGAAGAAAAGGCCGGAGTAGAATTTGCAATACCATATATAGGCTCTGAACCTATTCTTGGGATAATAAAAATAAACATAAAATCCTTCATCGCAGAATGGCTAACAAAAAGAGGAGAAGTAGATAAAATTCTGGAAGTGCTGAACACAGAAGCTTATAAAATATAATAAAACAGCCCTTACCAAGACTTACCAGGCAAACTCACTCCCACAATTAAAGAGGGGTAAACTAACAAGAGTGACAGGACTTTACCTAGTCCTACCGGAAGCACCGATCAAAACATCCACACAACATGGGCATATTCAGTTATGATTTCTAGATTATACAATGAGGAGGAAGATACAGCCACCCATATCATCTTTGAATGTGAAGCAACCGTTCAATGGATATATAACCTAGGAGACAAAGAAAATCCATGGAAAGGATGTACAATGACAGTCAATGACCTAATACTTCTTAATGGAAGATTCGATCGGATTGCACTAAACCAATGAGGATGGTACAATAAGCCAAAGACAGCAGTGTTTGGGGAACAAAAAAACCCTCTTCCTCGAATGCACATTAAACATCGTCTTCAACACCACTCGGTTCCGAAGCCAGCAGAATGTCATCAGCTTATGGGATTTAATAAATTGTATGTACGAAAGGAAGGAAATTATTTAAGACTGAGTGATGTTAGTGTGCTTCGGGTAAAAAGTGAAGCGTTTGAGGGGTGAAATAGCCAATCATCTGTTTGCTGTATTCATAAGTTCCAGGTCTCCCTACAAAATCAGAGTAGGTGATGTCCAATTCCGAATTATGCGATGTTTTATCAAACCAACAATCTATTTTAATTACAACTGGCTTGGCTATAATAAAAGCTGGTGAAAGTAGGAGAAGAAAGCAGCGGTGAAGTGATAAAACCCAGGTGCAGACGATTATTTGCCAGCAGAACAAGCATCACGACCAAATTTTCTACCCGCTACATATATTTCAATAAATAAACGCATGAAACGAGATAAATAGCGGATTTAGTGCTGGTTAATATTGATTCCTTCCTTATAGCGGAAGAATAAATCTCATGAGAACTCCTGAAACGGCTCCGTACGAGACAGAGCTACAATGAAATGGCCGTACATTCTCAACCAGAATAAATTGACGACTTCACAAATCACAGCCAGACACAAATTGCAAACCACGTTTTCAAAAGTTGACATTTTACAGTATACAAAAAACACGTGTTAAGCGAATAACACATACTTAAGACTTCGTTTGTTCTAAAAAAACGGGTATTCAAATTAAACAGAAACAACTCTTTATTGTTGAAGTCACGCTTTTACGCGCATACAATTCTGCCTCTTAACTCCTTTTGGTGTTCAAAAACAATTTTACAAAAAAGGGCGAACCGAGCCATTAAGATGGGATAAATTGAAGGGACGTGGGGACCGCGGAGGCCGACTCGCATTTGCCACGGTTCTGGGTTCGAATCCCGGCCTAGCCCATAATTTTAATTGATAATAGTAAAAAAAAGTGTTGTAAATTGATTTGACGCCTTGTACACAACACCCAATGGCTTTTGGATGTTAAGACTGTATGACATAGATGGACATATATGTCGAATATGAAATTTATGTTTTAATGTTTTTTATTTGGTGTTGTATCAATGATACTATTTAGCTTACAATAACTAAGTAGATCGTTCCTTGAAAATTCAGTTACAAAGGTATACAGAAGTATTAATTTTATTAGTTACAAAGCTTTCGATGTAGAGTCTGTAGTGCCACCTGACTTGCTACGGTTATTATGGATGCGATTCTGACGAAATTTTGCTGTGACGAGTTAATCCGAACTTGTTTTCCAATGTTTTCGTCCAATGTGTTTACTTTAGCAGCGAAGTGCATGTCAGAACACGCACGATGTCGTCATAACCATTCGAGCGTTCAAACCAGTTTGATTTTTTCGTGCGTTCTGACATTCAATTTAGACATTTTGGTATTTCACCATGGATAAACTGAACAGTCTTGTTTTTGAGAATCGGTGTTTGTGGGACATGAACGACAAAAAATATCACAACAGAGATATTTTTCGGCTAAAGTGGGAGAAAGTTGCTCAAGAAATCAACCCTAGCAATAAGCCATATTTGGTTAGTGGTCATAAATGACTGTATTAATTATTCTGATGAATAATTCTTTTTATTTAAGGTTTTTGGTTAAGATGAAAAAGCTAGTACCGCGAGCGGGATTCGAACCTACGACTTTCGGCTCAATACATCGCTGCTCTGCCACTTGACGTGCTATTCGATCCCGTCGGAAACCAACTCATCTCAACCTACAACCGTTCGAATTTTCTCGCTTTTTGCCATTTTTCAACTTTCATTTTAATTAATATGGTCAATTATGACCGTTAAAAATACATGGATTAATATCCATTTTTTAAGGGACTAGCAATAAGTTTGAAACTCTCCCTTCTCGTCTCTTGTGGAAAATAATTAGTTAACATGATCTGTCTTCCCACCCAGCTTGATGTACGGACTTTCAAGAAAATAAAACTCATTAAGTTCGTACATCTTGCTGGGAGGCAGAAACGTTCTGACTTTCAGAAAACGCGCACATGTAACCATCTTGTTCTGACGAGGATTTCTGACGTACTCGGCAGATTTAGCATCCATAGTAACCATAGACTTAGCATTTTGTAAGTTATATCACAGCCTCTGTACAAGGTGAACAAAAAAAAAGGACGAAATTCGTATCAAAAGTGTCAATTAAATCAGAAAACATCCAAGTAATGACATAACTAAACTCACATCGACGTAAACCCCCGGCACCGGGAACACTTGGACCGAAGGTACTTCCTGAGGGTGAACTCTGTAGAACTCTTGTCCTGATTTGTACCACTTGACTGAATAAAGTGTATCGCCTCGCAGTTCGAACAGGCAACCGAGACGAGCGTCCTGGCCCATCATCACATACCGGGGTACAATGACTTGCTTCAAAAATATGCCGGAACCTGAAAAAAGAGTTATGCTTTAAAATTATCGTATTGAAAACCAAAGTTCCCACTTGAAACTTTCAAAGGTTAACGAATTAGAAATAAATATTTGAGATCTAAAATCATGGAAGGTACTGTAGTATGGCCGCAGGTGGTTATAATCAGGTTCTACGTATATAAGTTACGTTACAAACACGTGTCTGTGTGTGAACAATATTTATATAGCCGAAGGTCGTGGGTTCGAATCCCGCACGTGACGCTAACTTTTCATTTCACCAAGACTGAATAATATAAATAATAACAAGTACGTTGTAAAACAATCTTCACTGAAACAGAATGTTTTGAGGTAGCCGTGGTTTTAAGTAGAATGATGTCCTCTGGCCCAGGTTTAAATCTAATCATCGTTGACAAATCGGGGGTACAAATGGTTGTAAGTGTACTTCCGGGACCTGATCGAACTTATAACCTTGGTTACCTTATAATCCTCTTTGATATCTACATTTAGAATTTTTGAGGATCTGGCGATTCCCAAGAAACCTGAGCGGTTTTACCGCACCCTGTATTTAGACTGGACTAGATCTCATCATCACTTAAAATGGAGTAAGCCGCAAACAGTAGCTACAAGCAGCAATAGTACCTCAATAGTAGTCAACCCTTGCATCCATTGCATTATCATCAGCCGAGGTGGTTGCCAGCAACACGAAGCCCTTTGCTCGCTACGGACATCGGCTAGAGCAACATCTGGCTCAACTACACAAGCCATCTAATTCCAACAGCTCCTTTAAACATCCTTCAAGTGCCGCTAAAAAACTCACTCACTGAAACGATGAGTTCAGTTTTGTTGCTATGTAAACTATACGAAATGACAATCAATTATTTTTAATTTAAAACTCAATCAGTACGCGTACTGAACAACAAAGCGTCTCCCATTAAGTCACCGACGGATTTTGACTTGTTGATTATTTTAACTAGGCAAAAGGTTGCTATGAAGCATGATGTTAAGACTCCACGCTACTGCTCAACCTGCGATTGATGTGGCCTATGACCCTCTCAGTCGTTACGATGCTGTTGCGTTTGCATGTAGCGTCAAAATATGACACTGAATGATGTTAAGTTACGCTATGTTGTTGCATGTCTTGACCCACATTGAGGAATCCCGTAATACGTGCGACCTAGCAGTTGACTTTTAGGTGATTGTGCTTGTTAGCCGTTCATAAAATATAATCCCGAATGCACCGCGTTTTCTCTATTCACCTAAATCCTAGTACGCACTGAGATTCTTTGAATCTATTCATGTTGTGGGGCTGCAACGCAACAATGAATCTACGCAGCCCCGACTCTGCTCTACGACAAAGAACCGTGTCCAGACCAAGGTTCAGTACAGAAAATGACGGAGAAACTAGCTCTCAGGACCCATGCTCTTGTTTGCATTGTACGTAGAGCATCCAATCGGAAGTGCATTAAAAAACTGTCCTTTTAAAGTGTGCCTTTTTTCAATTTCAGCGACGGAAACATTGAATTTTGGGGTTAAACCGTTCAACGTTTGGCTTTTCAATTCCCGATTTCTCTATTCCGTGAATGATACATTCCACAAACACCGATGGGAATGCATGTCTTCAATAAACAGTAAAGTCAACTCGGTTCTCCACAACATACCTTTATACCACACAGTATCAAAATCTTCAAGAAAACATTCACTAGAACGTCAACTAAACAAATGAAGCAAGAGCGCTTGTTCCGATTCACGTCCGCACTGGCAAATGTTGAGCAACATTGAGTCAAAGAATCCCACCTCGGATGGGATTCAAAAAAGACCGAAAATGCTAGCCCGCAACACACCAGATTCGTCGCAACAATGAGTCGGGGCAGCCCGGACTCAGGTTAGAAGCAGCCGAGACTCTCCGAAGATTCAAAGAGTCGACTCAAAGAATCCTAGTGCGTACTACGCCGGAAGGTTGTCAAAAATGTTTTTGGACGGGAAATAAAAAAAAACACTGTTTAAGCAGTTCTGTTCAGGAATGCTAAGATGACGCCACTCCATGATGCAACCTATGCAACGTGGTGTCTAAACTGAATGATGTTGCGATACGCTACGTCGTTGCATGCTTAGGTTTGTACCTTTAGGATTGTACAGTTCATGAAGTGTTTAAATAAAGAGTAAGCTTTCGAAAAAAAATTATTAGCATTATTAGGCTCCTACAAGTTGCATTACTAGGTACACCCGCTGATCCATCTTCACGTAAGCCATCTCTTCGTGCGAGATTGGGCAGAGTGGAACGCCTGGTGTTTTTTTTAAATACACCTATGTGTCAATTTGTCTCAAGTTTGTACGCCTTGACGGGCAGTATTGCCTTTGCACTGATAAATCCTTTCATATTAGACTAGATATGTAGGCAAATTAGAGGGTTAACGCTTACAGATACGAAACTTATTTACATGTCAAATAAGGTGTCCTGCGTTGAAGCTTAATTGATAGATAAAGAATTGTCTCACTTTCCCCACATTAATTAATATTTTTATGTTACATGTATGTTACAGACTATGGTAGATTATTTTTACAAAACGATATATCGGGATCCCATAAATACAAGCCAAAAATGACTCCGGTTCGTGGGACCAGCAGCGATAATCGTGGGAAATAAATTGTGAGGAGCTTCAAAGGCATGCGGGGTGATGGGTTCGTAGTTCCGTCGTTTCTAATCATTTTGGTGGATTATGTTTGTAAACAAAATATATATTTATCAAATCCATTCTAAAGGGGTAATTCTTTCGCGTTAATAAATGAAAATTTACGAAATAAATTGTATTTTGGTCATTAGCTATCATTCTGGTCAAATTGATACGAACATCAAATCACCCCGACTAAATAAAAAATTATTAAAAAATTATTGTTCAATTTCTGTCATCATTAGATAGATCGTTATTAGTATAGAAAATTAACAAATTTTTATTATCCAAATCCTATTATTTGTGATAAAAAATATATTTAATTTTGGACCAGTTTGGTTTGCGTTGGAGTATTGTACTATAGTGGGTACATTTATCCTTATTGGATTTGAGAGAATTCCTTTTGAGGTCGGTGGGATGATAAGCTTTAGTTTGTTTCAGAACATTTTTGGCTTCTCGATATTTTCAGAGGGGGTTTTTGTGCATAGTCGTTGAAGAACTAGTTGGTGTAGACATCCAACCGAAGACAAGTCGGTCCGTTCTGTTTAGCCTCTCCCTGCTTATAACCCTTACGAGGGACCCGATTAAACAGTTACAGCTAGGACATTTTCTTCAAAATGTATAGGATTTACATCTATAAATATTTATATACACTAAAATCTTAACCTTCAAGGCATGAAAACTCGGCAAAAATGAAAAAATGCATGGTTTTGTTTAGGTCGATCCTTCCTACTTCTAGCCATGAAGTCAAGGACAGATCTTTGTTTTCTGCCTATCGTGTGTTTCGGTTCGTCTTTGTCTTCAGCGGTGTGATTGTGCGCCTACATCTCCCTACTTATACTCTTGATGTCACGCCCTGAAGATGTCTAATGGTCGAAACGCCTCTGACAAGCCAAAACGATAGAAAATCGACCAAATTATAAAAACTGAAACCAAATTTGCATATTCATGCTGAACTGATTGCCATCAGATAAGAACTAGACAACTAGCCTATTAAGTCGATTTTATTAACAAAGTTTAATTAATTATTATTAAGCACTAGTTATTAAAGAACGAACGAGGTCCGCTTAGGCGAATTAAATTATTATCAAGTGTTGAAACTCGTAAATTAATTTAACACCGTGCTTATCTTATTTTTCCTTTTGTCTTTTTGCAAAAGACCAGGACTCAGGGACGACTAATTTAGGAAATAATACGATAAACCCTTTTATTTCAAAGACAACGCCTTTTGTTTTGTCCGTAACTCGCACAACTCCAGGAAAGGATTTTTTCCAGCTATCTTCTCTTTCAGAAAACGTGTTAATTTGTTTTGCACTTAAGCAATTTTTATGCGAAACAATTATCGGCAAATAAAAACTGTTTGGTATATTTAGTTTACTGGCAATACCATTATGAATATAACGAGCCCATTGATAAAAAGTTAGATTTCATACGCCATGTGGCACGGATCAAAGACTTGAAAATGCGGGTGAGAAGGTGCGGGTTTAGAAAAAAATTTTTGCCCCTAAACCGGACCCGTTTCGAATAATCATTTTCCTCGCGCTTCCTTTAGAAAGAAAGATGAATTTCTAAAAAAATTTCAGTTTTGATTCGGTTACAATAAGCTGGACGTGGGAAAGCGGAAATCAATCGCCTCGTTCAATCTTTATTTTTATGTAGTGAGTATTAGTTAATTATCACTGATATTTTATTGTATAACACGCGACCAGGTTGTTTTAACGAGGCTTGTTACGTTTTGGGCAGTTTAAATGATCCATTATAATTTGCAATCAATCCCTGGCATCAAGAATTTAAGCAAGAAGAATTCGAACAAAACAGACCAAAACGATGGGAACTGAACACCCCACAAAGAAAGCGCACAATTAATATTTTGCTCAAGAGTAGGGGACAATAGATCATTAAGTGAACAAAACGCATAAGTTCTATCCATTTCTTCTCTCCTTAAAGTCCGAATGTTGTCGATAAAAGCGTTTTCGTCCTTTTAAAATAGTTGCCTTTATTATTTATTTGTTGGTTTATAAGTTTTTTAAAAAGTTTTATGATTTTTTGTTAACTTCTTGAAATGTCTCAGCGTTATCTGGTTTCATCTCAAATTGGTTTATTAATGTAAATAGAGACACTTAGACGTCTCATTAAATTGTATATAAACATCTCAATATGAAATTACGCCCATCTGAGGATTTGAGGCCAACTCTCACCTCATCTGTAATGAGAACTCGTCCCCAATCTTCCTATGTCCAATTCTCATGTTTCAGTACGATTGATGCCTGGCCATTTTCTGAGCTGTCGTTAGAAGAGGTCCACGAGAAGATTGCCAGGTATGGTATGCTATGGTATGGTGAAAAAGGATA